TCACAGGTGTTAGTCCAGACCTGCAGCTGTGGTGGACCGACCTCAGCGCTGAACCTTTTTTTTGTTCAGGTTTAAGTTCCGATAAAAAAACAGCGTTCTGCGTTTATCAGCGGAGAAAAACCCTCAGAAGGTCTCAGACCCGCCCACTCATCCATTCATGGTTGTTTCCGCAGCGATGGCCAAACTCCAGGGCTTTGAGTTCTGGAGGAAGACCCTGAAAGAGGCCCGTTACGTTGTGGCCCCCATGGTGGACCAGAGCGAGCTGGCGTGGCGCCTGCTGAGCCGCCGCCACGGCGCCCAGCTCTGCTACACGCCCATGCTGCACGCTCAGGTGTTTGTCCGAGACGCCAACTACAGGAGGGAAAACCTGTACAACGAGGTCTGTGAGGAGGACCGGCCTCTGATCACTCAGGTGAGGAGAACGGCGGCGGCGGGCTGAAACAAACTCACCTGAAGGTTGTTGGTCAGACGGCGCCTGATGTCCCGCCTCCGTCTCACTGAAGGTGTTTCTTCTCTGTCGCTCAGTTTTGTGCCAACGACCCCGAGGTCTTCCTGCAGGCCGCCCTGCTGGCTCAGGACTACTGCGACGCCATCGACCTCAACCTGGGCTGTCCTCAGATGATCGCTAAGAGAGGTACGCACACACGGGTCCTCAGAACCTGGACTCGGACTCCAGGAGGTTCTGGTTCTGGTTCCATGATTAAACCTGCTGTGACTCTGTCCTCCTCAGGTCATTACGGAGTCTTTCTTCAGGACGAGTGGGACCTGCTGGAGAAAATGAGTGAGTCTGACTTTTTCTCAGCGCCGCAGGATGACCTCTGACCTCAGCACGATGACCTCTGACCTCAGCAGGATGACCTCTGACCTCAGCAGGATGACCTCTGACCTCAGCAGGATGACCTCTGACCTCAGCACGATCTCTGTCCGGTTTGTTTTCACCGACCGTCTTTGTTCTCCTCTCTCCTCTCAGTCAGATTAGCCAATGAGAAGCTCTCTGTGCCCATCACATGTAAGATCCGCGTGTTCCAGGAGGTGGAGAAGACGGTCCGATACGCCCAGATGCTGGAGGAGGCGGGATGTCAGGTGAGAAGAAACTGGACCTGAAACAAACACAGAAACACGATCTGAAGCCTCTAAACGTTCTGAACGTCTCTGCAGCTGCTGACGGTCCACGGCAGAACCAAAGACCAGAAGGGCGCCATGACAGGGATCGCCAGCTGGGAGCACATCAAGGCGGTCAGGTAGGATTTAATCGGCGAGCGCCACAGTGACAGGATGTGACCACGCCACGCCTTCACTGACTGTTTCCTGTTTTTTCCTCGAACAGGAAGGCGGTGAATATCCCCGTGTTCGCTAACGGAAACATTCAACACCTGAGTGACGTGGAGCGGTGTATCCAGGAGACCGGCGTGCAGGGGGTCATGAGTGCAGGTCAGGAGGACACGCCTCCGTTTGATCGGCGTTTGATGACTCTGTGTTGAAGTCTGTGTGTTTGTCCTCAGAGGGGAACCTCCATAACCCCGCCCTCTTCGAGGGCTGCAGCCCCCCGGTGTGGGAGATGGCTGAGGAGTACCTGGAGGTGGTGAAGCAGCATCCGCCCTGCACGCTGTCCTACGTACGAGCTCACCTCTTCAAGCTCTGGCACCACACGTACGTGGAGACGGTTCAACTGATGAAGTCTCTGAGATGTTTCAGATCCTTTTAATCGAAGCTTTAAAAACTGAAGGACTCCAGGCTGTCCGTCCTTCTAACGTGTGTGTGTGTGTGTGTGTGTGTGTGTGTGTGTGTGTGTGTGTGTGTGTTCAGGCTGCAGATCCATCAGGACCTGAGGGAGGACTTGGCGAAGGTGAAGAATCTGGAGGGTTTGGCAGACGTCAGTAAACAGCTGAGGCTTCGCTGTCAGGTGAGGAGAAAACGAAGAAAAGACGAAGAATGAAGTTAAAGGAAGAGTTCGTCTTTTAAAGGTAAAGATGAAACAGAGAGGGTTTCAGACTCTGATTCTTCTGATCACCTGGAAACACCTGAGAGCAGCACGTCAGGAACATCAGTGTCCTCTTTAATCTGACTTTTATCTCCTCATCTCCTCCTCTTCTCGTGTCCTCTCTCCTCATTAGAAAATATTTGACCATGCAGTTATAATAACAGAGAGCATTGTGGGAAAGAAAACTGACTAACCATGAAGTTTACTGTGTGTGTGAACAGGAGGAGATCGCCAGAGGGAAGGACACAGAGGAGGAGAAGGAGAAGGAGAAGGAGAGCAGCCTCCTGTTTCCTCACTGGATCTGTCAGCCGTACGTCAGACCACCGTGAGTCCAACAAACCGCTGATTTCAGGACTTTAACTGCTCCTTTAAAACTCCTCAGTTTGTCAGAGTTCAGAGTAAAGAGAGAGAGACATCCTGACCAACAGGAAACACAAAGATCATGGAGAGAAAGAGGAGGAGAGTTCAGAGTTCAGGAGTTAAAAACGTCGCTCTCATGTTCTCGACTGTTTCCTTCAGGCCAAAGGAGAAGCTCACAAACGGGAACAGTCAGGGCTCGGAGGTGAAGAGGGCGGTGTGTCAGAAGAGGGCGCTGGAGGACACGGACGGAGCAGCTGACACACTTTCCAAAAACAAGCAGAAGAAGAGATCCAGAAACCCGAATAAGAACTTCTGTCCTGAACACAAACGTGAGTCTGAGCCGAGAGTTTGAAACATGATGAAGATGAAAAAGTCTCACAGAAACTCACTCCTGTTGTTTTTTTCTCTTCCTCTGCAGCAAAATACATCAAATGTGAGCAGTGTGGGAACCCGAAGGTGAGAGTGAGGCCGGACAGACGTGTGTCAGACGTCAGCGCAGACTCACTGAAGTGAACATGATGTTTTTGTTTCTGCAGGGGAATAAGTGTGTGTTTAATCTGTGTCGAGGCTGCTGCAAGAAGAAGGCCTTCAAGGAGGTGGCCGACTGTCCCAGTGAGTGTTAAAGAGCTTCATCCTCCTAAAGTTCTCAGATACTTTTGGAGGCATCAAAATCCAAATGATCAGAACAGGATATAAAGACTGTTTAAAAAAAAACCACCTGCAGCTTCTCCCACTGAGTCTGTTCTGATCAAACATCAACGTGTCTGTCCTGTTTTCAGGCCACGGGCTGAGGTTCAAGACGAAGGCAGAGAAAAAGAAAGCTGAAGAGGAGGAGGAGAAGAAGGAGGAGGAGGAGAGGAAGGAGGAGAAGAGGAAGGAGGGAGCTGACACAGAGACAGAGGGGAGCAGAGACCCTCCTCTGATCCTCTCCGATCAGATCACAAACCTGCAGGATCAGACGGACACGGAGCGGCCGCTATGAGCGGGACTGACGCTGCCTCTACACACACACACACACACACACACACACACACACACACACCAAACTCTGATACTGCAGCTCTGACAGGTCAAAGGTCAAAGTCTTAGCGAAGGATTACAAGTTTCGACTCTTAAAAACTGAATATGAAAAATAAAAGAAGGTCCAGTCTGTGTTTTTAACGTTTTACCAAAGAGAAGATCCTGAAACAGATTCTGATCTTCAGAGCCCAGCTGTTCCAAAGTTTGAACCTTCATCAGATTTGACCTTTTTTTCCTTCAAAGATCAGATAATCCAGATTACTACTGTCCTGGTTTTTAAACTGAAACTGGACCTGGGCTCCAGAGTCTGGAGGAGGACCTTCACAGCTGCTTTAAAGCTCCTGAAGTGATGAAGCTTTGGTACGACCTAAAAACATCCGAACACTGACTGTTTATGTAGACGTGGACCAATCAGGTGGCTTTAATTTGATCAGCTGACTTTAAACCAGCTGGGCCCGATAATAAGGTGTGTGCGTGCGTGCGTGTGTAGAGGTAGGACATGATCCCCCAACAAACAGCTGCTAAAAAATCCTCAGTAACACGTCGATCTTTGGAGGATGTCTTTAAAAAGCTCGGACAGATGTGGAGTAACAGACCAAAACATTAAAGTTCTATTATTTTCATTTGTCCTTTTTTTTTGGTTTACAATCTTTAATTTTTGTCTTAAAGAAAAAAAAAAAAACAGATTTTATGAGTTTGAACATTTTTACTCCAAAGTTGACCCTGAGCCACCAAAGTGAGGAGATCCTGTAGCTGCTGTCTGCAGGTTTGATTTAGCTTATTTAAGGCTTTTGTTGTGGGTACACACCCATCGGTGGATGTATGAGTTTGGGTTCGAGTTTTCATCGTTATACTTGTATGTGCCTTTAGATGAGAAGTGCCACTGCCGATCAGAAACTTGAGTCCATCAGAGGGAGATAAACACGGTGCTCCTGTTCACAGACGACATGAATCCAGACGTCTGTAAGGTGCTCCCTGGACACCTGTGCGCACACGGCTGAAATAAACTCGAGGATTTTAGGGAGAACTCTCTTCTATCAGTGACCCGACAGGAACGTTAGACGCTGCCTCTGCTGCGTAGACTGAGTGCTTTTAGGACGCTGCTCTCTAACAGAGACCTTATTTATTTGTTTTGGTACTTTTAGAGAGAGTAGCTGTTTATTAAAGGGATATTCCCACGTCAAACTAAGTTAGGGTCAAACACACCGAAACACCAAGTTAGACACCCCGTCCAGACATGAATGTTACCGACATACCGCTTTCTTCTCTAGTTCGACCTTCTCTGGACGGGGTCTCTAACTTGGTGTTTCGGTGTGTTTGACCCTAACTTGATTTTATCCCTTTAAGACTAAAGATGAGAATCTATATGAGTTTATTGATACCACTGTTATAAATTCAGCTTTTCAGTCTGTTAGAGGAGTCAGTTAACAATGACATTATTTCTCTGAAATGCATCCTGACAGGGTTTCAAGGACACATTGAATTTTTATTTTAAGAGTTACATTTTTTCCATGTCATTTTCTCATAATAAAAAAGTTGTGGTGAGTTTCCAGGGCTCTCAAGTTTTGAACTAAGCTTAGAGTGAGATTTCCTGGGGGGGGGGGGGGGGGGGTTGAAGATAACTATTAGTATAATTATCTCTTAAATACAACGGAGCACAAGGGGCACAATTAGAAAAAAACGTTTTTAAATCTTAAAGAATAAAGTTGTTATTTGGGAGAATAAAATCATTAATGTATAAGTATTAAGTCGTAAAGTTGTTAAAATCTGCACTGTGGAGCATTTAGATGAATTGTACTTTAGTATAGGTTTCACAAACATGGAGATACTTAATCCTTTGGTCCATGAGCATTACACTGTCATGAGTATCAGAACTTATATTTGAGATATATGAGAAATGCAGCTTTTGTGGAGGGGAAAATGGCTGGAAATGGCTGTACGGAGGCTAAATCCGTCAATACAGCTGTTAATAGCAATAGCATAGGGCTTTAGTTTATCATATGAGTTTATCTGCCATGAGGTGTTGAGGTCTCTGCATGTGTAGGTTACTGACTTACTGTAATCATCGGGTCTATCTCGTCCTTATAAAAACCTGCTCTATTACGGCGAGTGTCTGTCCTCTCCTGTAGTCAAACCGCAAGATATCAAAATCTACCCGGATACAGCAATGCTGCTTTTTGATTGGCTGTTCAGTAGATATACTTTATTTGATTGGCTTGCGCGTGGCACGCAGCTTCTGAACTCTCGGAGGAACTCAGTTGATTCGTACCTGTTCCATACTTAAAGAGGTGCAACTTGGTGGACATCACCATGTTCATTTAAATGCGTGAGAAATACGATGTGTGGCGTGTGAGCGTGTGAACAGGTGGGAATGCGTGTGTCTCACGCTGAGTGCGTGAGACTTGAGAGCCCTGAGTTTCGTTTCTCCTAAGAATAAAGTCCTGTTACATTCATTTCTGATATTGTGAATTTAGTCCATGATTTGTTGTTTAGTGCGGTTTGAAGGGGGATATCACAGATCTCAGCTTTTATTCAGTCTTCTTAAAGTCCTGATACTTAAAACAAAGTGAAGCTGATTTCATCTGTTTTCATAGCATAGAGACTTTACTCTTGTTACATCACGACAATATTACTGTATTTTTTTAACAATATGACTCAGAACATCAACATTATAACTTGCTTTTCTTATGGCGAATCTGGTGAGACATTTATTTTTAAGACTGACTGAAAAAAAAACCTTCATTTAACACAAAATCTTCAACATGTCACTGATATTTACATGTAACATGTATTTAACGGCCGTTTGGACCATAAACATATATGAGAAATGCGTTTATACATGTACATCTATGGTTTATATCTATGTTTATCTATAGTTTGGACCATATTTATATATACCAGAAAGGCGTTTAAATATGCGTCTTTATGGTTTGGGCCGCTATCGTCTGTCCGCCATTTTTAATTCTTTGTTGTCGTTCGCGCCAAATTCGCTGTGCGTTCGCTAATGTTCCGGTGCGGTACAAAGGTAACATCATCGATAATACAGAAAAACAGTGATGATGCGTTTAAACAAGTTTAAACCGGTTTTTGATTCCCATCCCTGCCTACATTCGCTCCCTACTTTTGACTTTAGTTTTTGTTCAACTATCTTCAAACATTCATTTTCTTCACTTCAGTGCAGCGACAGGTAAACCCGGTTTCTCCTTCCTGGTTCAGAAACACAAAAAACGTTTTAATGTTGTCGTTAATGTCTGATGTTTTAGGTTGAAGCCCCCCTCAGATAATAACCCTCAGCTCTGTTAAAAACAGCTGTTCATGGATGTTTCCGGGCAGTAGATTGTTCATTGTTTAGTTCATGATTAGTGCTGTTTGAAGGTGAACCAGCTCAGTGAAGTTTAGTGTTTTAGATTTGAAGAATAGTGAAGTTGTGTGAAATCTATAACTGGTCTTATGAATAATTCTTATGTCTCTTTTCTGCAGTATAGACAGTGATTGTACATTTGTAAGTATTTCCCCAAACCTCTGCACAGAAGTATAAATATGGTCGAGTCAGTGAACAGTAGAAAACATGGAGTTCTGATTTTCGGTCCAGAATGTGTTTTTGTTTTTGCTCAGAACTGAACTGCTTCTTGACATTTTACTTTGTCTTATATGAGACTTCAAGTTTATTTTATCATCACCTCAGGAAACTTGTTCTCATATCCTCTTTCAGTCTCCTCCCCGTCTACTTGTATCTGTACTCGTGTATTTTTTATTAGAATTGCCAAATAACATGAATTTGGTTTGAAGTTTAATGATCATTAGTTTCTGTCAAACCACATTTTCAGCAGTGATCCTCCCCCTCCAGAACGAAACATGTCAGTGTCATCTGCAAATAATCCGAATTTTAATGTTTTTGAGACATTAGTCAGAGCAGTGTTGGTATATTTGAGAAATGTCCCCTGTTGGTGCAGGTCCTGAGGGTTATACTGACCTCTGCAGACCACTAGGAGGATTACACTGTATGAACTCCACAGCACTACTATGTAATGATCCCACTTTAAAGAAGAACCATCGGAACAGCAGCTGCAGAGTTCCTGTTCTTGGTGATCGTGTGTTTGAGATGTTTTATCATCAGAAGACCAGAAAAAGGGAGAGAGGACCCTCAGTCTGAGGAACTGTCATGTTCTGGTTTATTGATCATTCACCTGAATGCATTCTTACAGGGTTAATATTGCACATTACAGGACATTAATACTATAGGTGTCCCCTTAAATATATGAAAACACATCATGAGAGTGAGCAGAGAGAATAACTGAGCTCTACAGAGAGAGTTAAAGTGCAACGATCACGTTAAAGCAGCAGAGAGAGAGAGAGGGCGAGGGCGAGCGAGTGGTCACACAGAGGAGCTGTTTCAGAGACAGGATCTTTACATCAGGATGATCCTGATCTCAGTGATTACTATCAGCATTAACCTGATTCTTTAGACTGGATCTGGATATCTAGGTGTTTTTAGAGCTGTCAGATGAGGTTCAGGAGTCAGGAGGAGGAGGTTCAGGAGTCAGGAGGAGGTTCAGGTCTCAGGAGGAGGTTCAGGAGTCAGAGGAGGTTCAGGTCTCAGGAGGAGGAGGTTCAGGTGTCAGGAGGTTCAGGAGTCAAGAGGAGGTTCAGGTCTCAGGAGGAGGTTCAGGTGTCAGGAGGTTCAGGAGTCAAGAGGAGGTTCAGGTCTCAGGAGGAGGTTCAGGTGTCAGAGGAGGTTCAGGTGTCAGAGGGGGTTCAGGTCTCAGGAGGAGGAGGTTCAGGAGGAGGTTCAGGTGTCAGGAGGAGCTTCAGGAGTCAGGAGGAGCTTCAGGTCTCAGGAGGAGGTTCAGGAGTCAAGAGGAGCTTCAGGAGGAGGTTCAGGTGTCAGGAGGTTCAGGAGTCAAGAGGAGCTTCAGGAGTCAGGAGGAGCTTCAGGTGTCAGGAGGAGGTTCAGGTCTCAGGAGGAGATTCAGGAGGAGGTTCAGGTGTCAGGAGGTTCAGGAGTCAAGAGGAGGTTCAGGTGTCAGGAGGAGGTTCAGGTGTCAGGAGGAGGTTCAGGTGTCAGAGGAGGTTCAGGTCTCAGGAGGAGGAGGTTCAGGAGTCAGGAGGAGGTTCAGGAGTCAGAGGAGGTTCAGGAGGAGGTTCAGGTCTCAGGAGGAGGTTCAGGTGTCAGAGGAGGTTCAGGTCTCAGGAGGAGGTTCAGGCCCACAGGCAGGACGTCGGGCAGATACAGGGACTCTTAGCAGCTGGAGACTTGATCACCAGGTCCTTGAGGATCTCCACGGTCCCAAACAGCGGGAACAGCTTCTCGTCGAAGCTCTCGTTGTAGGTGTAGATGTGCAGGTGTTTTTCCGCGTCGTAGAAGGACAGCTGACCGCCGTTGTAGTCGAGGTAGATGCCCACCTTGCGAGGGATGAGGCCGGGCGGCAGGGCGGTGAAGGGCACCGTCAGCGCCTTCAGCTCTGTGCCTCTTTCCAGCCGCAGGCTCAGGTAACCCGTGTTTGTGTTCAGGGACTTAAACCCTTTCCTCAGGGCCGCCTCTTTGGCCACGCCCAGCCGCCAGTCCCGCTCGCCCACCTCCACTTCCCAGTAATGGCGGCCCGTGCTGAAGCCTTCCACTCCTACGGCGCACCACCATCCGTCGAACCTCTGGTGGTAGTTTGGGACATCCTTCCTCTCAAAGCCGCAGCGCATCCTCTTCTCATCGGTGATGAGCAGGTCAGGGTTCGCCGTGTCCAGGTCCAGAGTCACCTCCACTGCAGAGAAACATCCAGGTGGTTTATACGAACACAGAGGTCCAGATTTAAGGGGGTTAAAGTCTGATTTCACCAGTTTTACCTGAAGCGTCTGAGATCCACTCCCAAACTGAAAACAGAGACGAGAAGGAGGAGTGAGTCCGACATGAAGAGTGAGAAACGAAACGATGAGAAGAAGAAGAAGAAGAGGAGGGAAATACAACAACAGAGGGAAAACAACCACCCTGAATCTGTGTGTATACATCTATATCTGTGTGTGTATACATCTATATCTGTGTGTGTATACATCTATATCTGTGTGTGTATACATCTATATCTGTGTGTGTATACATCTATATCTGTGTGTATACATCTATATCTGTGTGTATACATCTATATCTGTGTGTGTACATCTATATCTGTGTGTATACATCTATATCTGTGTGTATACATCTATATTTATGTGTGTATACATCTATATTTATGTGTGTATACATCTATATCTGTGTGTGCATACATCTATATCTATGTGTGTATACATCTATATTTATGTGTGTATACATCTATATCTGTGTGTGTGTATACATCTATATCTATGTGTGTATACATCTATATTTATGTGTGTATACATCTATATCTGTGTGTGCATACATCTATATCTATGTGTGTATACATCTATATCTGTGTGTGTATACATCTATATCTGTGTGCATACATCTATATCTGTGTGTGTATACATCTATATCTGTGTGTGTACATCTTTATTTATGTGCATACATCTATACCTATGTGTGCACTGCCTTTAAACCATCTCACAGTTCCTCTCCTGGTTCTCAGGTGTTCATGCTGACGTGCAGAGACTCACCTGGCTGAGGGATGTAGGAAATGGCTCCTGTAAGAAGATAAAAAGAGAAACTGATCAGTAAGTGAAACCTTTTTGATTTTAATCCGACTTTATCCTGCTTCACTTTGGATTACAAACCGATCTTCTGAGTGCGCTGCTTCCACATGAGCCACTGCTGCGGTATGGTGTCCTGCAGGGACAAATCAGACGAGAGAAAAGTCATTTTAAAATCAAGAGTGAAAAAGCAAAATGAAGAGCAGCAGTGAAGAGAGATTAAAGCAACAAAAGCCTCAAAAGTCATGATTAAAGAGAGTAATATAGAGTTCAGTTCTTTCTGAGCTGCAGACACACACACAGAGTCTCACACACACCTTATCGGGCCGCTGCAGCATTAAGGTCCACATCACCAGCTCCAAGGCGGTCAGCAGGTTTGGAGCTCGGCCCCAACGCCAGGCGGACTGCAGGTCCTCCAGAACCTTTGCCACTGGTTCACCGGGCCACACGCTCTGCTGCAGGGTCATCAGAACAAACGTCAGGGTTATCCTCCATGAATACTGACAACAAAACCAGCCGAGGAGAAGAAGAAGAAGAAGAGCGTCTCTGTTCTTCACTCTCACCTCAGGCTGAGCTCTCAGGTCCTTCAGCCAGGTCAGGATCACAGTCTTGGCCTGCTGAAGGTCCTGCTCGCTGATGGCGTCGGGGTGTTTGACCTCATCGATCTCCGGCCAGCCGTCTGTCTGCATGGGCCTCTTCTGCACACACACAGAAACACACACACACACACACACACACAGAAACACAGAAACACACACTTCTTTGGTGAGCAGAGATCTGCCCTCATGGATCTCATCGCTGAAGATGAACGGGTGAAAACACCAGAGGAGACAAAAGCTGCTCAGCAGATATAGGAGGAGCCTGATCGCTGTAAGAGCCAATAAAGGCGTTTCTATTGATTATTGAGAAGGGTGTGAATCGTTCTGGGCTTGACTGTACATGCAGAAGTTCAGAGGAGTACCTTGCTCTCTAACATGGCGGCCCACTGCAGGATGAAGAGCCTGCAGAGAGAGGAGGACCAGGTGTCATCCAGGTTCCAGATGTGCTCCAGGACTGAGGATCTCTGCAGGGACAGACACAGACACAGACACAGACACAGACACAGACACCGTCAGCTCAGATCCTTTCATGGTTCTGTTGAGATTCTGATCAAAGATCTAAAGGTATCAGCGGTCTCTAAGGTCGGACTCTGACCTGACACACTCGGTTCAGATCTCGGGCCAGATCCACGATGAACAGCTGATCCTCGTCCAGCGGCTCCCTCTTGTCCCGTTTGGCTCTTTTATTTGTTTCCTGCAAGAAGTTTAAAACCAGAAGGAGGTCAGAGCCGGACACTCAGCCTGATCAACATGCAGATGGAGGCTCTGGTCCTGTCAGCAGAAAAACTCAAACACTCCCTCTGCCCCCCCCTGAGACTCCCTGCTTCACTTCATCCTCCCAAACTCTCCACAAACGACAGCTCTGCCCGTTTACAGTCGAATCGTCATGTCAGCTTCACAAACCCAGACTGACCAGATCCTCTCACCTTGATTTTGGCCGTCAGAGCTTTGGCCGGCTCCACCATGAAGTGAAAACACTGCATCATCTTGGCTGGAGTCTGACGGAGTCCTACGGCAGATAAACAAACACACAGACACACAAACAAACACAAACAGACACACACACAAACAGGTTTATTTAGTTTATTTACCTGCTAAAACTCTCTCCTAAAGTGCATCAATCCTTTTTACCGTCACATTTATAAAAACTCTAAAGCTCCTTTCACACCGGGACCGTTTTTGTCGTGCGATTATTTCGGACGTCAATATTTTTTTTAACCCGTATCCTGTCAACACAAGCGTTCACATCAGCGACGTTTTCCCATCCTGCGATATTGCGGTATTTATTTTTTCGGATCACGGTCGATTTTTCTAAAGTTTCTCAGACTGTGTGTCCACTTCTGACCAATCAGATTCAGCGGTATATCCAACATGGCCGACCGGCTGATTGTTTCCGTGTCGGAGAACAGAGTGATTTTTGATAAAAGACACAAACATTACAAAGAGAACGACCTGAAGGACGACGTGTGGAGAGTCATAGTGTCGGATTTCTCCGATGACGATGATTTGTGAGCTTTAACAGTTTGATAAATGTCTTTGTTTGAACTTTCATCTGTGCTAACGTAAGCTAACGGTTGTTACCATGGTTACATGTGTTTATCTTATCACCTCTGATTGGCTGTAAGTGCTGACCGTTTGGCTTGAGCGTGTGATGATGTTTCCAGCTTTTCTAGCCAATCAGAGGCGAAGGAGGCGGGACTTTCGCGTCTTTTCCCCCCAGGAAGTCGCAAAATCTCATCAGGCTTGATGTGTCTAGTCAGGCGCGTCAAAATTCACCTCTGAATATTTTGTAATTTGGCGTCCTATATCGGCGTTGTTCCCGGTGTGTGAGGAGCTTTAGTCATGATTTGACCTTTTTATCAGAGAATTCTGGGTATTTATCTCACAGGTTTGAGATTTAGAACTCATTAACTTTCAGATGTGACCACTTTTGAGTCAAGAAATCGACAATAACGAGGACTAAAATCTAAAACTTGAAGCTTTGAAAATGTTCTGATTTCAGTGAAGTGATGGCAGCTGCATCATCATAAATATGTAAATTCATACAGCGCTCTCTCTCCAAGTTTCAATAAATCTCCAAACCTCAGTCTGTGAATTAATGCCTCTTAGTTCTTGTTGACCCTGTTTTTAGTCCTTGAAACGACCCGTCTGTGAACACCGGAGATCTGCTAATGTTTACCACCTAAACATGAGAGCGTCGTGTCAATCATTGAACTCGTGACACAGATTTTAGACGGAGAGAAAAACAACATGGGTGTTTTCACAACAGCTCTGTGGACGTGTCGGAGACTGTTGAGCAGGTCAGGAGTCGGGAACTGATAAAGTTAATAAAGATTTCTGTCAGGGACCGGCTGCTGGAGCCAAACTGGAGCAGGAGATAATCTGAAACGTGACTGAGGCTGCACACACACACACACACACACACACACACACACACACACACACACACACACACACACACACACTCTCTCTCTCTCTCTCTCTTTATCTCTCTGTAATCCTCCCCTCTTTTACTCCACAGCTCCAGTGTCATGATGGGAGCTCTGGTTTCTTAATAACTGTTTGAATAACGTAGACACACACACACACACATACACACACACACACACAGTTTAACTCTTTACTCCCCAGAACAAACACGGACACACGGACACACACCAAACTCTGTGAAACAGACGAGGAAGGCCGACTAAAGAGGTCATCCTGCTGTTTATCATACTGAGCACACTATAAAATTATTATTAGATTATATAAGATAACTACACTGATAACAAATGATCTGCATCACTGTCCTCCATGATGAACGCTCCAGACTAGGGCTGGGCGATAAAACTATAACGAGATATATCCAAAATTAATTTTCCTCAATATCAACATAAAACATGATCAATATGCTTTTCAATAGTCGTCATTCTGACATGTTTTGGTCGACTATACGAACAGCCAATGAAAAGGGGAGTTTCTCCGGGTCTGAACCAATCATGTTCTGAATTAGAACCAAGTATCAACCAACTGCAGCGTCGTAGCAGACAGCAGCTCCACCCAACCATAGCACTTTAACAGGTGAAGCCGACAGCACTGTTGGTGAGAAACAAAGAAAATGAGTGCTACCCCCGACAGAAATGACCATGAAGGCTCAACAGATGACCACATCAATGTCAACAACAACACTGGCGTTAGGAAAACGTCGGTGGTGTGGAGGTATTTTGGTTTTTGGAGGTCGGACATGAAGCAGAGTAATGTGGACTGTAAATTATGTCGAGTACATGTTCTCACAAAGTCGGGGAATACCTCAAATCTTTTTCACCACCTGAAGCAGCGCCACGCCGCAGAGCACGCGCAACGCAAAAGGTTACGAACCCCGAGAGGAGCGAGGAGCCGAAACAGACGACCATTCAGTCGTCTTTCTCTAGAGCAACGCCTTACGACAAAACGCCAAAGAGACACAAAGACCTCACAGATGCAGGAGGTTATTGTGTTGGAAAAGACATGAGACCAATAAACACTGTTAGATTTTTATATCAGCTGATATTGATCGATATCAGCTGATATTGATTGATATCAGCTGATATGACAAATATCCTGATAAACTTTCTCCCGTATCGCCCAGCCCTACTCCGGACTGTTAACCTTACATAAGCAGTTTTCACAGTGAAGTCAAAGCTGCATAAATGAAGTAAAAACCCAAATCAACAGATGTTTCGATGTTTTTAAGTTCAGTTTGACCTGACTAAAGAGGAAATATGAAGTCCTCCTCTCTATGTGCTTTATATCTACACAGTAATAATGCTGATTCACGCTGAGCTGCAGACAGTGGTGTTTCAGTTTGATCTGGACTGCAGAGGAGGAAATGCTCCATCAGAGACTTTTCTAGCTGTGCAGAGAAATCATGACCCAGCAGCTTCTGCAGACTCAGATGGAGGAGAGGCCAGCTGATGACTGCGCATGTAGAAACCCTCACCTGCCGTGTGACTTTGCGGCAGAGCTGAATAATAGATGCACGATGACTCACTCCAAACTCACTCATTTAGAGCTGCATTTACAGCAAACACGCAGATCTGACACCTTTAACCAGGTCCTGACGTCAAACTCGTCCCTGCAGTCATACCTGCGGAAATAACAGCACGTTTCAGAGTGTGCGCGCGTGCCACAGCTTACCTTCCCGCTCAGGTGTGTGTGCGTGTGTGCGCGTGTGTTCAGGTAGTCGTCTTCTTCCTCTCGTGTGTTTGAATCGATCCGCTGTCCGGAGCTGAAAGTGTTCGTCTGACTGCTGCAGTGTCTCTGACCTTGTTTACACATCAGACCGCCGCTCGGCTGCTCGGGCAGGTTCGGGTTCCTCCGGCAGTGACGAACGCGAACGTGACGCGGACGGAGAGAGCGGCCATGTTTGTGAGGTCGATATAATGTACAGATAATAAAGGAAGAAACTCTTTTATTATCGGGACAGCAGGCTGTAGATTCTTTAACAACTTCACTATGTTGGAGTTTAATCACGTGACTGAAGAGTTCAGCTGGTCGTTGTTCATTTGGACTGTTTTTGGCGTTTTTTTTGACCTCGAATGTTTTGATATTATTCCTGTACTAAGATATTACAGAGCTCTGTTAAAGGGATATTTGGGCATAAAACTAATTTAGGGTCAAACCCACCGTAACACCGAGTCAGACCCCGCCTCCAGAGATGAATGTTTCCGACCGCTTACTTCTCTAGTTAAACCAATTTTAGTAACGACCGCAGGCCAGTCCATTAGGGACTACAGCGGGGTGCCGCAGCTCAAGGAAGAACATTTATGATCATTTCTTTATCATTTCCATGAAGCAAAAATCACCATATTAATCATTTTACAGACGCGGTCGTTACTAAAGTTGGTATAACTAGAGAATCAAGCGGTCGGCAACATTCATCTCTGGAGGGGGGGTCTAACTCGGTGTTACGGTGGGTTTGACCCTAACTTTGTTTTACACCGGAATATCCCTTTAATAAAGACAGATGTAGGCCCACACTGTCCTTTGCTGTCCCGTACTCCTGTCAGGTGATTTTTGTTTGTTGGCGTCTTCATACATGGACACTATCATGACAGACTTTTTCAACATATGTCACTTTTATATTGACTTTTATCACGGCTGTGAATTTTAAAGAAGACTTTGGAAACTTTAACTTTCCTCTCATCTCTATCTGATCACACAGGACATGAAGAGGATGGAGTCTGTGATGGAGTTTAAGATGTCACCACTAGGTGGCAGCAGTGTAACACTGAAGGGTGTTGGTGTGTTAATGAAAGGAGGACTCAAACCTCTGAGAGAGCTCTTATTTACAGTCTATCTTAGGTCTGCTTCCTCCATGACCTCTAATATAACAGCAGGACTTTCTCTCTTCTAACCAAGAACCTTTTCTGACTCTCTGCTCAAAGGTCAGAGGTGAAAACAGCGTTTGAATTTGCAAAGACTTTCTTTTTCCTGCTGGTTAAATAAAACATAAAGATGGATCGCAGAGATTTGTAGATCTGAGTAATGTGTGGATCTTTGTGGATGATATCTGTTTGGATCTTTTTCTGCTCTTGGATCATCAGGACCTTGGTGGACCTTCTCTGGTTTCAACATTAATGTTACCGTCAGTTTATTGTGAGTGGGATTAATGGATTAATTTATAATTCAGAAGAGGCGTGTGTGTAAATGGATTAGCAGTTAACAGAGTTCATCTTTGGATTAAGTTTGTCCTCCTCTGCTGAGACTTCAGGGCCTAAATATTGTGCAGTGACAGTATGAAACAGGCTTGTTATGTAGCTCAGGTGATGTGATTTATGACCAGAAAATAACTGAAACAAAGTCATGATTACAGGGAAACTGGTCCGAAGGATTAATGTCTGCAGAGAGCTAAACCCTGACATATATAAGAGCAAGAAAAATGGGGATAAAAACACAGAATTTTCCTTTATTTTTAATCATAATTATGAATAAACAAACATTTGTTTATTCTGTTTGTTTTCACATGAGAAACAACAAAGATCATCAATAAATAAACAACTAAAGGTCCTCACACACCGGGGCCGACGCCAAGATAGAACGCCAAAGTATGAAATGTTCGGAGGCGCCTCTGTTCTCCAACACGTGAACAGTCAGCCAGTTAGCCATGTTGGATTTACCGGTGAATCTGACGTCGCAACAACACGAAATCTGATTGGTCAGAAGTGGACACACAGTCTGCAAAACTTTAGAAAAATCGACTGTGATCCGAAAAAATAAATGTCACAATATCGCAGGACGGGAAAACATCACTGATGTGAACGCTTGTACTGACAGGATACGGGTTCAACAAAAATATTGACGTCTGAAATAATCGCATGATAAAAACGCTCCCGGTGTGAAAGGAGGTTAAAAAGAGAAAAAATCGTTGGACGGTCACAAAGATCCTCTTCGGTTTTCGTTTCTCTCTGATTCACTCTAAAGATGTTAAATTTTACTGTGAGCCTCGACTTCGGACAAACTCCGTCAGGATGAAAGAGAAAAACTGTGAAAGGTCAGAGAGAAAGCGCTCATGGGGGTGTGTCTTATAATGGAAGGCACTCTACGATAGGCTGAAGCTCATTCTGCAGAGTCAGCAGGAACAGAAACGCTGAGGCGCCGATATTCAGACTTCAGAGGCGCTTCACGAAACAGTTTCTGCTGAGATGGAGGGTTTATGGAGACAGAACTACAACAGGAATCACAGAGGACAAATCTGCAGGATGAAGATCTAAAGATCAGGACAGTGAACCGAAACAGACAGGGTTTTTAAAGTGTGGCCCCCTGGTGGACAGATAAAGAGCTGCAGGCGGGTCAAGGAGTCGTATTCATCAGAGAAAATCCTTTTTTTTCCAAGTTCACATTTTGCTGATTGATTAATTTGCTCATTGATTTGGATTCCTTCAAAGATTCACTTTCTCCTTCAGTTTTCTGTTTGATCAATTTTTTTTATCAAAGATTATTTTCAGATTTTAAACGAGGTTGTTGCTGAAACTTGGGAGTTTCTAGAAAAGGCTTTTCTCTGTGGATTGTTCAGTGATTTTGTAAAGATTCCCAAAAAGCTCTTTTCTACAATAAAAAACACTTAAAGAATATTTTTTTCATCTTTTAAACCCTCAATCCTTTCTTCTGCAGACCGCACAGGGCAGACAGACCGGGCGCCATATGTCCGTGTGTCGGCACCGTGTGTCGGCACCGTCAGCCCGTCCAGCTGCTACATGTGCTACAGACAGTGCTGAGAGGACTGTAAACTACAGTCAGAGCGCCCCCTGCTGGAAAAACTACCTAAACTACAAATACAGTATTTTTAATGTTATATATTCTGTAAAAAAAGGTTGTAAATCTGAAAACTCTTTTAAGAACATCCATGTCTGTGTCTGTCTGTGCTTGAATTACAACAATCAGCTGGTCCAGGCTCAAAGAAAACAGCAAAGTTCACTGACGGTCAAATCCTCCGAGGTTTTCTTCATGGTTTGTTTTCTTCTTCTGTGACTCTTGAAGATGTCTCACCTCAGTGAACCTTCAGTGATCTTCTTCTTGAATCATCGTCTCGCCAAGTCCAGCAGCTGGAATAAACCGTCTTCTACATTCAGATGTGGACGCTCCACATCATGCAGCTCCTCTTTGGTTTCTCCTCTCATGAGGTTTCTCCATCAGTCTCCTTTTAGGTCCTCTTTCACATTCATCCTGCGGTTTCAGACCCCGATGAGCTTCACACAGGTGGAGCGCTGCCGTTAGCGTCTGAGCTGACCTGATCAGGAACATCGAGTCCTTCGTTGGTGTAGAAACTCTGAGGAGAGGAGAGGTCTGGACCAGGGGAGAGGATGTCGTACGGCAGCTCTACGGACTGACGGATACTCTCCTCGTATGTGGGAGGGGCCTGCAGGGAAGATGAAACAGACAGTTTATAAAACAGTCTCAGACAAACAAAAGATTTTAAAGTCAAAGTTTTTTTTATTTGCACGTTGTCCTCTCTGCAGAAAACAAGTAGAACTTGAGCGTTTCGTCACGTCCTGTATCCGCGTCGGCCCCGCTCTGTAAGGACCTTTAAACATCTTTACTGTTTTTCAGGCCAAGTGTCAAACGCCTGACCTCTTTTGTCCCTCCTGTCACTCCGTGTCTGTTCGTGTCTCAACTTCTTTTCTGTTTTCAGCTCTTCATCTTTGCTCTTCATAGTCTCAGATAATGTGCACGGCTCTTGTGTTTTATTATAATAATAATAATGATAGACTTTGAAACATCGTCTGCACCAGCTGATGTGTCTGCGGGACAGAAAATCTGAAACTTTCTGCAGTTTTAAACTGAAGATTTGACTTTTTTCTCCCATTTCATCTCCAACCTTTCGTCCGTGTTTGTCGGAGCGTTTCCTCGCTGAGTTCTTACTAACTGTCTCCTCTGAGCCGTTCATGAATATTCTTCATTTGCTGTGAAAATCAACCTTCCACTCTGAGTTTGGACTCCGTGATGACTGCACATCATTCATTATTCACTGGAGGCAGAAAATGAGGAATTAATAAGTTTTCTTTGGGATGAGTTGGCGTGTAAACATCCCAGCGTTGGGTTTGTATCTCAGGGATAATTAGGATGATGTTTGTATTTACATCACTAATTAATCTTTTGAATGCATCATCTCTCTGATCGGATCTGACTCACCCTCCAGACTCTCTCGGTTTATCTTTTAATTGCTTAGAGACCCTGAGGCGACAGAGAGCAACCTTATAACCCTGCCCTCTGTCTGACACATGCACACACACACACACACACACACACATGCACACACACACACATGTACACACCCACATAAAGCTGTACTGCCTCAGGATGCTGGACGGACAGCGCTGAATTTAAGGGTCGGAGGAGGAGGAGGAGGGAGACTTTCCAGCAGTTGGTGATGGGTTTACTTGAAGGTGTGTGTCTGTGTGTGTGTGTGTGTGTGTGCACGCTCTCTCTGCCAGTGTGTGTGTGTGTGTGTGTGTTTAATTAAGGGAGAAAAAACAGGAGGTCAAAGCAGAAAAAACAGAGAAGACAGGCGCTCTGAGAGCGGTGGCGGTGGCGGCGGCGTCCCGGCTCTGTTTGCTCTCAGGATGCAGCTTTAATTACGTCTGATGCCTTTTTCTCATTACCTTGTTTGCTGGAGCGTCCTGAGAGTCAAAAGCTCAGCAAAGATCAACACGGTGAAACCCTGAAACGCAGCAGCAGCAGATGAGCTGATGGCGCTCTCTGTTTACCGGCGCAGACTTATCTCTGAAGCTTCTCCTGTTACAATATTCTGTGAAAGCGCGGCCATAATAGGAGGAACGGTTTTCTTATTATCTCCATTCATACTGAGACAACACACAGGGAGGGCTCATAAAGAAGAGAGTTTAGGTAAGCTCGGGCTCTCTTTGTTACTGTCGCAGGAGTCAAATATCGGCTCAGTTCTCAGGCTGAACAACAACAACCAGAACTCACATGTCTGACCCAGACCAGGAAGAACTTTCAGAAAGATTCTCGGCTCCTCTTTGGCTTTTCCAGAACCTCAACAGGGACACATATCCCCTCGATACCTCATGTTCAGGACTGTATGAAGTACTGTGACACTCCCATAATGCTTCACTCTGCCCACCTCAGTCACAATGGGTCCATTGAGGCCAAAGCGGTCTGCGATCATCATGTGGATCTGCCTCTGGCGGTCCTTCTTTCGGACGCTCTCGTAGGAGGGGAGTCTCGGCAAGGGGGTCTCCAGAGAGGGGAGGGTGTAGCTGGAGGGCAACCCGACGAAGAAGAGCTGACCGGCCTGCTGAGACACAAAGAGGGACTCATGAGGGACATCTGTGAGGGTCAGGAGACAGATGGAGATCTGGATGATCTCACAGGTAAACTGAGGACATCTATTTTTATGTCTATAAACAGATCTATGGACATGTTTGCAACAGCTCTACGGTAAACGTCTAAAGTAGGTCCATATCCCCTCATGGAATCACTGCCTTTCAGTGCGGTGACTCCCACTCCAGAGTCCTGTCTGTTTTTAACGCCCTGAAGATCAGGACCGTCCAGTCCTGGTTTTGGTCCTGGCCCCTTTAGTACAGAGGTCAGTGATGGCGTCTGCTCCGTGGTTGTTTTCCTCTCACCTGTCTGTTGTCGTCCATGATGTGAGTGTTCTCCAGACACGCAGATCCCACCAGAGTCTGTCTGCTGCTGTAGTACTGAGGAGGAGCGTCCTGGGGAAGGAAAAAGAGGGACACAGCGTCACATGTTTGCTCACACTTTAGTTATGAATTAAACGTCCTTGTTCACGTCTTAACTTCCACCCTGGGGGTCCTTGTTGCTCCTCCATCACAACAATCAGTCAGAAATCCACTCCCTTCAGCCCAATTGGGCGATTTTCATGCCTTGTTTCATCACTGTAGACTCTGCCTGCTTTAGCAATACCATAAATTACCCGATCAATGAGACCAACACCCTCCTGTTTCCCTGCCTCCTCCTCCTCGTCCCTCCCCCTCTAACACAGACCTGTCAGTGTTTCACTGTATGAGCTGAAGGAATCCTGCTTTAAGAAAAGGCTGCCAGTAAAGGAGGTAATCGCCTCGGGGTCTAAATGAGCGTCCTTTGTGTGGAGGACAATGTGCTGTCCTACTGTGTCATCAGGGTCCCTAGGCAACAAACCACACCGTGTGGTCTCTGTATTCTCCCTGTGTCTGCGGCAGGTACCTCCTAACGAGCACACGACACAATACACACCTCCGAGGACGAGACAGCGGGTCAGTTAGAGTCTGACTGAGATTTCAAGAGGAGAGGAGATGATAGGAAGAGGGTGAGATTCAGACAGACGAACAGATGGTCTGTTATTATCAGACCACAGAAATAAACACAAACATGCATCTGAAAAACTCTGAATCTGAAACACAAACTCAGACTTTTCTGAGACGTAAACGCGCCGCAGAGAAGTCTTAAAAAGATTCATTATGCAGAATCCGATTATTCGCACATGGATGATGATTCTTTTATGCAAACATCTGTCCTTATGGCCTCCAGTCTGTGCGTCTAAAAGCTCCAGAGAGAAGTTTCTAGATGGTTATTAAACTGACATTAATGCAGATGTCTGACATTAACCTTCAAAAGTAAACACGACAATCGGCGAGCTTTTCCACGCAACCATGAAGTCGGACGAGGAGAAAATCAGTCACTTTGGAAAGATATTTGGCCTCTTTTTTCAGGAGCTCTGCCTTCATCACCATCAGTGAGGACATGGGAGTCAGACGAGGAGACAAACAGAACAGGGACAAATAACAGCTCCTTCTTTTGTTCATGCTGGTCTGTGAAGATCCAGAAACTTTCAGAAGATCTCAAGTCTTCAGATTTTCCAAAGCTGCTTCTTTCAAACACGCCCCCTTGGATGTTTTTTTCATCCTGTCATGTTTCTGCTTTCTTACGTCAGCTCACCCTGAATTCTTGTGAAGTTTTACCGGGAGCTCGAGGGAAAAACTCTTTAGTCTGTTTGGATTCACACGTGCAGATCCCCCCTGACATGTTTGGGAGTTTGGTGCACGTGTAAAAACAGCTTCAGTTCATGTTCTCCGTGCTTCTTGGCCTCGTCGACAGCAGCTCTCTGTTCCCCGTGTTTCCTGTCTCTCTCCAGCTGTTTTATCTCATGACAGAAAAATGCCTGACCTAAAAACATGAGTGGTGATTTTTTTTTACAGAAAAGACAAAGAGAAGATCCTGGAGAGTTTACAATCAGCGGAGAGGGTGGAGGTTTCTGTGCAGGGGTCAGCAGACCGCCTCAGACGGAGCGCTCCGGGAGCTTTGATGTGACAGTTCAACAGAAAGTGAAATCTCAGAAATCCAAACAGATTTCTCATTTTTCTCAGCCGCTCCAACAATGACATCACTCTCACTCAGAGTGACGCAGAGCGACGACCTTTGCCACAAACGCTCCCATCGTTTCAGACGGAGAGAGTCGACTCTAAAGGAGAGGTCAAAGGTCACGTTCCCTCGCCGGTTTGTACTTTTAAGACGCGAACAGAAAAGTCCTGAAGGAAGGACGAATAAAAAGGAGACTTGTCCCTTTGTCTCAGCTAGTGTGAAAAAGCACAACCGTGTAAAATCAGTGTTGAAGTCGGGGGAGGAGCCCAGCGGCGGCGTGCCTTTTTTTCACCTCCGCAGCCTGAAGGAGACCCATTGTCCCCGTTTGTCCCCAACACCCACAGAGGACTCCGTCCCCCATTCAGGCTGCGAAGTGAAGCAGGGAGAGGTATGTGACGATGAAGTCAGAGACAAGAACACGGTGACGGAGTGAGAAACGACCAACCCCTCACTTCTGTCTGAGGACAACGTCAAGAAACACGACTTCACTCTCACCTCCATGAGGCTTTAGTCCGAGTTATGATCCTTCTGTGTTCAGGTTTTATTTTCAAAGATTATTCCCAACATCTTTTTTATCTTTTATTTGAATATTCTCCACAAATGAGGTTCAAACTGAACCATGAAAGAGGAGAACAGATAGGAACAGGATCCAGAAATGCTGGAGACATTTCTCTGGACCAGATCAGTCTGACTTTCTGTTTGGAAATCCTGGACTCTGAAGAGTAGAGGGTCCACCAGACTTGTTCTCCCAGAGATCTCTGTACTAAAGTGGACTTAGTTGAGACGTTTCTATGCAAATCATAGATGCTGCATCCTCAGTTTTATATCTCCAGGTTTAGGAGCAACATCTACTACCATCCAGACTGTGACTTCTTCAGGGAAGACCGTCATATGATCCCAGACCACATTCTGACAACAGCATGGCTCTGTAGGAGAAGAGTCCTGGACTGATGTGGTCCTGACTTGAAGACCAAGGCAAGAATGGGACAACATTTGACTGTCAGACTCCAGAACCTGGTCTGCTGAGTTCACGAAGGTCTACGGAGGACACACCATGAGGAACATGAACCTGAACATGAACATGAACAAGTGTGTGGATGACTGTCCAAAAAGGACTGTCCTGCTGTTCCTAACGTCTGAACAACATTCGTCTTGAACTATCAGATGAAAATAAACAACGCTCTCTGACTCAGGTTGTGACGAAGCAGCAGCGCCGCCGTCTTATCAGCTGTTAGTGGAGGTCAGTTTGTCCCGCTGAAACGCTCTGTTAGTTCCCCAAACGGGACAGCAGAGCCTCTCTGTTAAACATAACCCAAGAGAGCTTCCTGTCTGCTGACGGGGGAGTCTCTGCAACACCGAGATAACACACCAACATCCCCCAGAGAGCAAGAGAGAGTCCGAGGGAGGAAGTGGAGAGAGCGGGCAACCTTTGGGAAGTCACCTCCGAGGAGTTTCCTTCTCACAGAGTGATTAAGGCGTCACAAATACACCCCCTAAAACCTGAAGGTGGGTTTCTCTGATTGGCTGTGATTCCGTCACTCTGCAGCTGAACCAGCATCAATATTCTGTCCAAATCCATTAGAGCCACTGTGGCGATCACAGATATTTCTGGAGGGCGGCTAATTCAGCTGAGACGAATCCCTGGGCTGACAATGATCATATCAAGTTTATTCCGGTCTCTTTCCCACAGCCGTGCAAATTGAATGTGACACTTCTTAAAGCCGTACGGGCGCTCGCTCTCTGTGTCGGATCAGGACAGACCTCAACATCACAGTCACCTAAAGAGAAGCAGAAACCTCAGCAGCTCTCTCTCTCTTTTTATTTTAGAAGTCTTACCAGGTCTGCATGTGGCCCCTGGCAGGACCGGGTTTTGCAGCATTGAGGATCTTTGCGGTAGATGATGGACAGCAGCACCACGATAACCACGAAGAAGACCAGAGAGGAAACTGCAGGATAGAGAGGAGACGTGTCGGTGAAAACAGAAACTTTCAGATTCATCGAGGAGAATAAAACCAAAGTATTACTCAGAAGAGTCAGGACAACTAACGGAAAAGTCATAAAAATAAAGTTAGATTCATCGAGGACCATATGATACCATATCTTATTAAGTCATTTCAGTGGCACAGATCACCCTCAACTTTGCATATTTACAGGAATCGCAAGAACCCGCAGATTCACGTTCAATCGCACGATAACGAGTTGTCTCTCTAAAGACAGACACATAGACATATAAGCAGTAGATTGTGTCCTTCCAGAGGAGGAAATCTACTTCTAGACTTCTAGAATCAGCATCTCCTCATCCATGGTGTCATCGGGGTGAAATGACGTCTAAAAACCTTTCACTTGTTCGTCTCCGCCCGTTTGCATGGTGTGAAATACGATCCTGTGTCTGTTGATTTTAGCGCCCCCTGTGGTCAAAGCAGGACCTCCCCCCTCCTTGTTTATCTTCTCCAGTTCATGTCTAAGTCATGTTTTATCTCAGTGGAGTATATCACCGACTGTGTTTGTGGAAAAGTGACAGAGTTGTTCTTCGCTGTAAATCGTCTGGTCTGACACCTTCTCCTGCTGCTGTTACAGGTAATAAATGATATTACAGAATTATTCATTTATTGCTGATGGTCTTGTTAGCTTTTGCTGCTCAGAGAGAGGCACTGCTGTAAATTTCAGACCGTTTCTCCTCACAGAAGCTCTGAGAGCAAAGGTGAGTCAGGACTTTTACAGTTTCAGTACAGAGTAAAATCTCAGTATGTTTCACATGATATCGATCAGCTGTGATGGTGATGAACATTCAAACTGACGGTCAGTTTATTACATGAAAAAGTTAAATTTCTCCTTTTTCCTCAGCCTGTCTGTTAAAAACGGAGACAGCTCCTCAGATAAGAAGAGAACATGTTTAATGACCTGTCATGATGGTCTGAAGGTTTGAGAGCAAACAGAACTCAGACCTGCTGCTGCTGCTGCTGTTATCTTCTGCCTCCATAAACTCAACATGAAAAAAGTCGTTTATCATAAAACACCTGCTACAATAACCGGATTTCAGGTCAGGTTGACAGGTTACTCACAGGACGCAGCGACCACCGTGAGCTGCTCGGAGCTCAGCTGAGAGGAGGGCACGGTGGGACTCGCAGCTGTGGACATTTCCTGCGTGGAAACTGAGAAGAGTGTTTCCTTCAGAGATCCTCCTGAACTCCTCAGACTCCGCGCTGCTGACCCTCTCATCGTCCTCCAATAAAACCATCAGAGTCCGGTCCGGACCCTTCCTCACGGACCCTCAGTCCTCACCTCGGTCCTCACACCGTCCGCTCGCGCTCCTCCTGCTCAAATGAACCTCCTCTCGGCGCGCGGACCTCCTCCTCCTCCTCCTTCTTCTCTTCCTCCTCCTCCTCCTCCTCCTCCTCTGACCGCGTGACGTCGCTGTGTGTCCGCAGCAGCTTTGAGTCATTGATCAGACTATTATGATCAGATTATTAACTCTCGACACGGATCAATGAAGAGAAGGAGGAGTTTAGGGTTGGTCCAACAGACACGGCAGCTCAACTACAGACCTGGACATGTGCCGAACTATTAACGTAAAGGCTATTGTATGGTGGCCCTGAAGGTCAAAAGTCTGAAAGTTACATTTTTTAAATAAAGTCAACGGACAGGAAATCTCACAATATAAAACCGAGGAAACAGAAGTTACAGCTTTTTGTAATCATCGTTAAAAAAAACATTTCATGGTTGGAAAAGTCTCACGAGAATTCAACGAGATCAACATGAGATTTGCTCAAACTGTGACATCATCAGACAGTGAATCTCATTCAAACAGATTTTTGTTGTATGGCAGTGAAACCGGTGTGACTCTGTGTTGTGGTTACTGACGGAGACACAAGCGGGATATTATTTCTACATTTATTCTGTAAACCAGAATGACAGGGGAAACACATAGACTGTATCTGGAATAGACGCCGTCTGCCTTCTCCAATCTGAGAACAGTGCCCTCTGGTGATTGGCTGCAGTATAGGTCATAAACCCCGCCTCCTTATGGAGCTGTGGACAAACTTTATAAATGAATGACACAGAATATAAATGTTTCTCCCCCTTGGTTGTGATGTTGACATGTAGTTACTGTCAGACTGGTTTGTGCTCAAGTCCTCTTTTTTCTGTACAGCTCCATTTTTAAAAGTTATTTGGGGGTTCATGTTTTCTATGATTGACACCTGGTACAGCCTATGGGAGGACAGAGATTGAGTAGATCACCAGGGGGATATGCTGTTTGAGCCGAGCGTCATCACAGCGACTCTCCCGCCGAATGCGCACAAAGCTACTGCGCAATGTTGGTTTAAGGAAATGGAGAAAAAATGCGGAATTACAGAGAACATTTCGGCTTCAAATCAGTAAACTGGAGGAAGGAGGAACCAAGTTGTCCGGAGTAAATACAGGATATGGGGAAACCTTAAAATGTTGGCCTTGCAGCCTTCCTCCGCTCCTACACACACAGAAACACAGACGAGTTTAACTGAATGAACATAAGTTGTCAGGAGACAACTGAGGTCCAGACCCGACTGTGTCAACACACTGGATTCCTGAGCTGGACTCCTGTTACCGTGGAGACAGTGGGGGACTCATCCTGAGAGGGTTATTATACGGACAAAAGGACACAGCGTAGCATCAGTATTCATGAATGAAACTATGGGAAGTATGCAGTCTTTTGACTTAAACTGTCAACAGACTCTAATTAAATTAAGGATAGTTCTTGAATTTGGATATTTGATAAAATTGTTACGCCCTGTAAAACTGAAATGGTGGGAACTTGTCAAATAATTAGGCACTCGTAGTCTACCATATCTAAACATTTAAACACATGTTTGCAGATGAAACATTTTTAAAGTTGATACAGACTACATTATTTACAGATTTACATTGAATGGAAAAGTTGAGAGAAACCCCTGCTGATTTTCAAAATAACCACATTTTATCACGGAATGATGGAGTTAAGGTTGTAAACAAAATTATGTTCATGGGAAAATATTTTAAGTGAGAATTTAATCCAGAAAATGGAAAAAAATAACCTTATTCTTTATGAGAAACTTTGCCACATGGGTAGATCATGAGCAAGGTGATGTAAAAGACTAACTCTTTTGGAAGAACTATAGTTAAAGCTCTTCATAAATGCAAGCTGTTCTGAAAGGAGGTATTCAGGGAAACATTTGATCATGTCAATTCGTTTAATTCCAACCAGAGCATAGAGCAAAGCTAAGCCCTGTCAGACTTCTGTAGATGTGTTGGTTATCTTCCTGGGTGTTATTTTTGCTTTCAGAATGCCACTTATTAATGAGAAGGCATAGTGATGTGAAACAACATGGTTTGGAGCAGTGGTTCTCAACTGGTCTCACTCTGGGACCCACATTTTCCCATGGTCCTCAAGTCATGACCCACTTTTATAAAATTCAGACCAACCAAATTTGTTTTTTATTAAAAAAAAAAACTTTAAAGACTGAAATCTTTTACATAAATACACGTATTTTATTGAGTAAAGCATATACAGAAAATATTGAATTTCACAAAATAAAAACCAACAAAAAAAAACAAAACATTCATTTTTACTGCATTCAGGCCACATTCATAAGAAACCGAGGGGGGGCCATGACGCAACGTGTACCTTTCAAAATAAGCACTTTTTCAAAATAAAAGGCATGTCAAACATTAGATGCGCATAAAATATTTACTTTTTTGACCAGCTGTTCACGACCCATCCAGAACGTATCCACGACCCACTTTTGGGTCGGGACCCACCAGTTGAGAACCACTGGTTTAGACTAACTGTACTAATTACTTCTATAAATCAAATGAGAAAAACACCAATCTAACAGTTAAAACACAGCTAAATGTGATGGGATCATACTACAATGACACACACAGATGATATATATATTAGGCTACGTTCACACTGCAGGTTCTGATGCACAATTCAGATTTTTTGTTAAATCCGATCTTTTTGTGCGGTCGTTCACATCACAACAACAAATGTGTCCGTGAAGTGACCCGCATGCGCACAAAGCACAAATTTCTTTCTGCGCCTGTTTGTGTTGTTGAACAACGGTGACGTTTGTCTCATATTGATGACGTAAAGGTCGGATGAACGCGACCTGAGCGTCCACACTGCAGTCACATCAGATACATATCTGATTTATATCCACATACAGAGGAGGCCTGGGTTGGATTAGAACAAATCAGAATTGACCTGTTCACACTGAGATGAAAAAATCAAATATGAGTCACAGATGGTTAAAAAATCTGAATTGACTTGCAGTGTGGACTACGTGGTGCTAAATGCAGAACACTGTTGGAGCCGAAAACACCAACTATTCTCACTGAATCGAGCCAAAAGGTTAGATCACTGGACAGAGCCGAACTGCCCTTTACTCGGTGGCAACCTGAACGCTTGTGATGCCTCGTGCGCGCGCAGCTCAGAATGCGCCTTGCACGCGCTGCTCCCCTTCAACTGTAGTCGGAAAAATGGTGGCCAGCGCTCGAGTACAGAAGCTCCTCCGACGATATAAACTGGCGATAGCGGCCGCGGTGACGATCCTCCTGGTCCAGGGTCTGGTGGTATGGAGCCTGAGGAGTCTGGAGGAGGGAGAGGCGGAGGTGAGCGGCGGTTCTCCCGCTTTATTCTGACCCGACAGTGGTCATTCAGTCGGGTTTAATTGAAGAGCTGTTAGCTGTTAGCTCCGTGTGTGTTATGATACTGTAACGGTAGCTAGCTGACGGTAGCTCGGTTAGCATCACAGGACAGAGCTACTCCCGAACCCTTCAGATCAGCCGGTCCGGCCCAGATTAGTCACGAACCACCTCAGTGAGACCGAACAGCACGTTAGGATGGATGGTACTGACTGTGAACGGAGCGGTGATGCTCAGAGTCTCCTCTGAACCCGGTCCTCTGGAACTAAAACTGCTGGAGGAACTATTACACTTTATACATGACTAACTCTTTAAATGTGACCACAGTTTAAATGTGACTGTAGTTTATACATGACTATAGTTTTAATGTGACTGCCGTATATTTGTGGCTGTAGTTTAAATGACTTGTTAGAATGTGACTGATGTCTGTGGCTGTAATTTATATTTGACAGCAGTACAAATGTGACATAAGTTTTAATTTGTGGTTCTACTGTGACTCTAGTTTAAAAGACTGTGGTTACAGTGTGACTGTTGTATAAATTTAACTCAAGTTTAAATCAAACTGTACTTAAAATAGGACTTAAGTTTTAATCTGACTGTAGTTTAAATGGGACTCTTACAAATTTAACTGACGTTTGATTGAACTGCACTTAAAATATGACTTAAATACAACTTTAGTTTTAATGTGACTATATTTAAAATGACTGCGGTTAAAATGTAGTATAAAAGTTTTAATGTGACTGTAACAGACTCTTATTTCTGCTTCTGTTTTAAAGGAGAACACTTACAGAGCGCTGAGACCTCACAGATCAATAACTGACAGACTGATCAGATCTAGAAAATCCTTCAAACTGAGTCAGACCTGCTGTTAAAGAGTCTTTAAGTCTCTTTGATTGTCATCCTCAGTTCTCCTTTTTTGTCCACTTCTGCTTTTTAAAGTCAGACAGTTAAAATCATTTCTCCACACAGTGAACAGATTTAATGCTGATCTTGAGAACGACGGTGTTTTTGTGAAGTCATACTGACCTCTCAGTTTTCAGAAGGTTTATTTCCCTTTCACTGAGACAAACAGGAACATTTCCAAAAATATGGACAAACCAAAAACTATGTCCACCGTCTGCCAACACTGCTCCACCCTGTAGGAATGTTTGAACCGCTGGATTGTAGTGAGGTGAGAAAAACAACGTCGGATTGTTCCGATAGAAATCTGCAGGAGAGCGAATTTATGGCAGTTAGTTGAGCTTGTAATTCACACTGACCTCCATGTTTTCTTTACCTTCCTCCTCACAGTCGTGTCTTTTGTGGTCGACTGTAACTTGATTTTATTTCTACGTTTTGCTCCGGGGGGTTACCCCACTCTCTCTTTGTTGGGCATCGGAGCCCCACTTGGGTTTCATGGAGGTTTCTCAAACTGGGCCGCCTCCCTTTTGGGGTTTTCTGGGCACGTCTGACTGGGAGGAGGCCCCCAGAAAGACCCAGATTATTATTATTATTATTATTATTATAATAATGTTCCACTGCTGGGATGTTTGGAGCACTTTGCTCTGCCTGCTGTCTGTGGATGAGTGGAAGAAAATGGATGGATAAACACTCGTGCCTTTTAATGTTGTTATTATTCAGGAAAAGGAGGTGAGTCCTGGCCCGGGTTCTGTTGGTACCTCTGGTTCTGTTGTATGACTCATTACAGTGTCTGTGCAGTGATTTTAGAGGACAAGAAACAACCATCCAGAATATTTCTGATCTGTTCTCCTTGTTTTTTGTCTTCAGCTTGTTTACAGACAGTCAGGGCCTCTCTGTCTGTGACCTTTACTGACATCGGAGTCAAACACACACACACACACGGACACACACACACACACTCAGAGGAAACATATCTTAGGGCTGAAGTACACACCACTCAGCCAGGTCCACGGTGGGAAGCGTATCTCTGCTCCTCCCTCTCACACCTGTAGCTCTCCACCTGGAGGGCGTGTTCGCTCCTCTGTTCTCCCTCTGAGGAAGGACTGGGGGGGTCGTTAACAGATGTGACCCCTGGGAGACTGTTCACACTGATAGATCCTCGTCAAAGCCGGCTGTAACCTGAGAGACGCTGTCTTTCATTTCTGGTATGACAGGTGTGTGGAGCAGTATAATGTCTCCCTCCTCTCATGGATGGGTCTCAGATCTGTGCCTGGAGGGTGGAGCAGGCAGCAGATGGAGTTCAGCGGCTGATTTAGTGAGAGAAGGAAGTTTGACCCCTGAATCAGAGAGGAGAGGAGTAGAAACAGTGAAGGAGCCCGTTTTTGTCTGAAAGTCGTTGTCTCGAACACGCTGCAGAGCGTTAGACTGTTTGGAGGTCGGGCGTCTCGCCAAACCAGCTCAGACATCAACATGTCGTCTGTTCTGTCACTGATTTCTTTACCTCAGAGGGAAAACACGAGCTGACTCTTGATTCTGAGTTCCTGTAGTTCATGAGGAGCCGCAGAGCGTCGTCTCCTGCAGCAGTGAGAAGTTAAAAAAAAGACTCCAGACTGACTCAAGACCGTGACTTTAATGTGAGTTAAAGGTGTTGTAGTCTGGATCTGAGGAAGTTCCAGTTTTTAGGAGAAATCTTGAATGTAAACTCTACCCCTCCCAACCAGTTTTCCCCTCAGCTCCTCCTCTCCCCTCAAGCCCCGCCCACAAACAGACGCTCCTGCTCGCTTGTATCGTTCCAGTTAAATTCAGCTATAATGCAGATAAATCCTTCAGATCATTACAAATGGGGCCCAGTCAAGGTGAAAGTCAAAAGCATTGGTGCTACTGTAGATGCCAACAGACTACCAGCAAACACAATGTTTGCAGGACTTCTACAACGAGGATAAAGTGACATAGTCCAGGACCCGAGGGAGGACAGTTTAGCGATGGCGCTACAACACGCTACAGCAGGTCCGTTTGACAAGAAACACTTCTGTTACAGACACTTGTCTTACTTTGTTAAAGCGGTTTACCTGTCCAGCAGAAAGGTTACAGGGTCACCAAGATCCCCAAGCGTCCCCCATGGTTTATGTTGACCCGGCTTTTTAGCTCTTGTCCGGTCTACCTCCGTTTTAAGCGCCCGTTATTCCTCCAGAGTCTCCGGTATTTACTTTGTTTTCTTGCTTGTGTCGGCAGTCGTGGCCAAAGGAGGATTCGGACAATTTTCCGAACTTTCTGGTTGGTTTCTACTGTCCGATATTGTAGCACGCTAACTTTGTTTGGGCTCACCGCAGTTTTTACGGCTCTGCCCCATCCAGACCACCCTGACACCCGGTCCTCAGTAGGACCATGGTCCTGGTTCTTAGATGTGACTGGTCGTTTCCTCTGTATGAACTCAGGTCTGTTTCCCTTCGACTCGCTTCAGTGTGACACGATGACAAAACAGGAAACGCCACTTTCCTGA